GAATTTTCTGGATTTTTCTATATTGCTGAATCATAATTTTCTAAAGCCTCTTCATATCTCTTCATTTGAAATAGAGTATTAGCTAATAATGCATTCAGATTTATTTAAACCTTTGCTATTATAATACTTGGAATTTTCTGGATTTTTCTAAATTGCTGAATCATAATTCTTCAAAGCTTCTTCAAATCTCTTCATTTTACATAGAGTATTAGCTAAGAATTCATTCAGATTTAGTTATACCTTTGTAATAATAATAATCACAATGGTCTGGATTTTTCTAAATTGCTGAATCATAATTCTCCAAAGCATCTTCAAATCTATTCATTCTATCTAAAGTACAAGCTGAGAAATCATCCAAAAATAATAATACCTTTATTACAAATAAAATTTGAATTGTTTGGATTTTTAAAAATTGCTGAATTATAATTCTCCAGAACTTCTTTTAATCTGTTCATATTATCTAGAATATTAGCTTAGAAATCATCCAGATAGAATTATACCTTTGTTAAAATAATAAGTTGAATTTTCTGGATTTTTCTATATTGCTGAATTATAATTTTCTAAAGCCTCTTCAAATCTCTTCATTTTACATAGAGCATTAGCTCAGAAATCATCCAGATATAATTATACCTTTCTAATATTTATAGTCACAATGTTCTGGATTGTTATAAATTACTGAATCATATGTTTCCTAAGCTTCTTGAAATTTGTTCCATTTATCTAGAGTCGCAGCTAATAAATTTAATACCTTCGAGCGAATAATAGTTTGAATGATCTAGATTATTCTTAATTGTTGAATAGCAACATTTTTTATAAATTTGTTCTTCTGCAAATATTGTTTTCTTTAATTGCTATGCTTTTTTAAAATCGTTTCCTCTTTTTATAGCCCTCTATCAATTTTATACTTACTTTTATAGAAAGCATGCTCTTGATATAATTCTTTTTGCCCCCTCCAGAACAATTATTCTTTACCAGCTAGTTAGTTCATAATCTGTCAAATTATATACATGAGGCTTAATATTATGTTATGATATATTCCATTCTAATTGTTTTGATATTCTTTATAAAATTACATAATCATTAACATAAATTCAATTAAAAAAAATGAAAAATAACAATTTTACACTTCAAATCAAATATGAAATTTTCATGCAGAATCCCATCTTATAATTTGGATTAATTTTAGAATTGCAATTATTTCATTACATTTTTGATGAAATCGTCGTAAATTTTGTAAGTCTAATTTTGCAAAAGGGTATATCAGGCATTTTAATGTGTTCATAATTGATGAAAGGATGTTTATGAATATTAAAATGAGTAATTAATATATTCAAAAAAATAATATTTTGCAATCGAATTTTATAAATATTCTCTGTTATTATTCTATAGAAGACAATAAAAACTTAGAGAGCGTTTATTAGCATCAACTGAATTCTGTTTTAGTTGTTTAATTTTCAAGCAGAAAATANAAAGCCTCTTCATATCTCTTCATTTGAAATAGAGTATTAGCTAATAATGCATTCAGATTTATTTAAACCTTTGCTATTATAATACTTGGAATTTTCTGGATTTTTCTAAATTGCTGAATCATAATTCTTCAAAGCTTCTTCAAATCTCTTCATTTTACATAGAGTATTAGCTAAGAATTCATTCAGATTTAGTTATACCTTTGTAATAATAATAATCACAATGGTCTGGATTTTTCTAAATTGCTGAATCATAATTCTCCAAAGCATCTTCAAATCTATTCATTCTATCTAAAGTACAAGCTGAGAAATCATCCAAAAATAATAATACCTTTATTACAAATAAAATTTGAATTGTTTGGATTTTTAAAAATTGCTGAATTATAATTCTCCAGAACTTCTTTTAATCTGTTCATATTATCTAGAATATTAGCTTAGAAATCATCCAGATAGAATTATACCTTTGTTAAAATAATAAGTTGAATTTTCTGGATTTTTCTATATTGCTGAATTATAATTTTCTAAAGCCTCTTCAAATCTCTTCATTTTACATAGAGCATTAGCTCAGAAATCATCCAGATATAATTATACCTTTCTAATATTTATAGTCACAATGTTCTGGATTGTTATAAATTACTGAATCATATGTTTCCTAAGCTTCTTGAAATTTGTTCCATTTATCTAGAGTCGCAGCTAATAAATTTAATACCTTCGAGCGAATAATAGTTTGAATGATCTAGATTATTCTTAATTGTTGAATAGCAACATTTTTTATAAATTTGTTCTTCTGCAAATATTGTTTTCTTTAATTGCTATGCTTTTTTAAAATCGTTTCCTCTTTTTATAGCCCTCTATCAATTTTATACTTACTTTTATAGAAAGCATGCTCTTGATATAATTCTTTTTGCCCCCTCCAGAACAATTATTCTTTACCAGCTAGTTAGTTCATAATCTGTCAAATTATATACATGAGGCTTAATATTATGTTATGATATATTCCATTCTAATTGTTTTGATATTCTTTATAAAATTACATAATCATTAACATAAATTCAATTAAAAAAAATGAAAAATAACAATTTTACACTTCAAATCAAATATGAAATTTTCATGCAGAATCCCATCTTATAATTTGGATTAATTTTAGAATTGCAATTATTTCATTACATTTTTGATGAAATCGTCGTAAATTTTGTAAGTCTAATTTTGCAAAAGGGTATATCAGGCATTTTAATGTGTTCATAATTGATGAAAGGATGTTTATGAATATTAAAATGAGTAATTAATATATTCAAAAAAATAATATTTTGCAATCGAATTTTATAAATATTCTCTGTTATTATTCTATAGAAGACAATAAAAACTTAGAGAGCGTTTATTAGCATCAACTGAATTCTGTTTTAGTTGTTTAATTTTCAAGCAGAAAATATAACACAATCAATTTGGATAATTGTACATAAAAATTCTTTTGATAATAATAAATTAAGAAGTAGTTGTTTTCAAAATACTGCAGAAAAGCTTATCACAATATTTTAATCAATTTAATTGTTTATAATTCAGAAATTCTATCAGTACATTAGGTACAAAAACATATGGATATAAAACTTTTAAATGTAATTAATATTTAATTATTCGTGCAGAAATTTATCACACAATCTTTCTTCATCAAAAGTCTATCTTATTTATTAGTAAAAATTGCTAATCCCTAGATTATATTATTATTATTAATATTTTAACATGCAATGATGAATAACCAGATCACACATACTTGATACCCTTGACTTGAATCATACATGAATCCAAAAGCAGTCATCATAACTAAACTTTTCATTTTAAATCATAATAATGTTTATGAGAGTTACAAAATACTTTCTTAGAATATAATTTAATAAAATTTAATGATCAACTAGAAAAGAGATTAATTAAGTTATATATACCATTCCAAGTTGTTTGGGAAACATTGTTTTAATTTATAAAAAAAAACAACCGATAGAGCTTTGAAGGAACCATACTAATAGAGTGAAAAATCTTCATTCCGTTGAAAAAGGCAGTGAATATTTATTTTCAAGATTTTTCTAAAATACTATACCTTTACATCATATTAAGCTTTTGGGTTTATTATATATTACCTATAAAAATCAAGTTAACTTTACCTTAATATAATTGGACTTAAATGAAGGCTAAGATTAAAGTAATTTGTTTTATAACCGAGCTTGAATTTTAAATTATTTTCCTAATAAGAATGAGGGTTAGGCTTAAACTTAAACTTTAAATTAATTGCAAGTAATGGCAATCTATAGCTATGAAATAAATATTATTCCCCTATTAGTTTGCCACTTAGATTTTGTAGATGAATTTTTAATTTTTATACACCTCGTCCACGCAAAAATTTTACAGATATTCTCAAACATCCTCTACAAGAATTTTAACATAATAAAATCTCACATTGAATGTAATATTGAATTACCTAATTTATTGAGAAATGGTTAACAAAGAAGAAAAAAAGTAGATTCAGAATGAATAGAAAGCTGGTTTATAAAAGAGAAATGGATTTTTCATAAGTTCTAAAATACTAATGTTCTGTAAAATATTGCAACTTTATGGATACTCAACAGATGCCATTGCTGGTGAATTGAATCTAAATGCTCAATAAATATATTACATCAAAATCATTTGGATGATTAGACTCATGAATCAAATTATTTTAATTTAAATAGAAATCACATTATTAACTTAATATTAAAATAATGGTAGACTTAAATTTTGTGCAACAAGTTAGTATAATTTATATACAAAATTCTTTTAATAATGATAATATTTATCTTTTTAATGTATATAACTCGTCAAACTTAGATCCGTCATTATCATAATAAAGATAAATTCTATTATAGCAAGATATTTTTAAATCTAGAATCTCATTGTCATATTATAGTTGATGCATATTTTCTAAGGTAATTATTTTCTTAATTACAAAGTGATGATTACTATCCTATGTCTGATATTTGGAAGGATGAATCATATCAAAATTATTAGTTCTCTTAAAGTTAGAAATTCTAAGATTAAACATTCCTCATTAAGATGTATTAATCAGGTTTTTTTTTAATATGATTGGAATACTATAATAGTAAATTACTTATCAGGTAAAAGTTATTAGTATTAATTATAATTAAATAAATTAATAATTTAAAAATGATTGTTTAGTCTAAATTGAATAGAAATATTAATAAGAAATAATTAAGATCCTAAATTATCATTAAATTTAAAAATCCAATCAGGTTCATATCGTGGCCTAATAAGAGACTTTGAATTATTTTATACTGAGCCATTAATAAAGGCTCAAATTGAATGGAGAGGTTGTTTAGAGTAAATTGATGAAAAATGTCTGATTTGCCATGAGGGTTGGATTTAAGATGAATTCTTAGAAAATTGCGATCCAATTTGTGGAAATGGAATTATATAAGGTTAAGATGAATGTGATGATCATAATCTAACATCTAATCATAAATGTTTTTAATGCAAATATTAATGTGTAAAGTTTTGCTAAATTTGTTGATTTGGAATTTGTTTACAATGTATAGATGGATTAACACTTATTGATTTGAATTGTGATCCTGTGTGTGGAGATGGTAATTTAACCACATATTCAGTTGAGTAATGTGAATTGGCAGTTAATGGGATATGGGATGGTTGTAAGGATTGTAGGTTTACTTCAATCGCTAATTGTAAAATTCACTACTTTTCAAATTTGCCTGATTGCGACGTAGATTTTAGATGATAGAAAATGTATTTTATCCTAGTTGCAGAGATAAAATCATTCTGGAATAATTTGAGGATTGCGATGATGGAAATTTACAACCTTATGATTGATGCTATTAATGTAAATTCCAATGTATTAAAGAGATTAATTTATTAACAATAGTTGTCATTCTGTTTGTGGCGACCAAATGATCACAAAAGAAGAAGATTTGATGATGGAAATTCAATAAAGTTTGATGGTTGTTTTTAGTGCAAGTGTTCCTATCTAGATTATTGTTTTGATTTTTAAAGGTAATTGTCTAGAGTGCAATGATCAATACGAGTCATTAATTTCGAATGAATGAAAATTATAATTAAAATGCTATATTTTAGCGCCAAAATTTTGAAATACTTTAATTGGGACTTCTCCTCTCAACAAGCTTATTTTAAGTCAGATTAGTTTATAATTATTGTAGTGCCTCTAATTCAATGAATTATATTAAGTAGATGATGGTTTAGATATCAGTATGTGTAGTTCATTTTATATATCAAGGAGTTTAATGAGTATTTTAATTAAAATATTAAAATTATGCTGGGATAGATTCAAGCAATCTTATTATCCCAAGGTATAATTATAGAATTGATTCTGATTTCCTAAGAAGTTTTATTAAAATTGATCTAGAAACGTAGAAAAAAGTCAGAATTTGTGGTAATCTACAATGAATTTTATGACTAATTTGTTACAAATTAAAGTGAAGAAAAATTATTTTTTCAGTCACATTGAAATATAATATAAAATCTATTATTGAATAATGTTTTAATCTTATAATTTTAAATAGATTTGATATGATATATTAATTAAATTTATTTTTCATATCTTGTAAAACTCTAATCTTTTAGGTAAATTAATAACAAGAGGATAGATTTATTTTGAAATATTCTAATCAATTCTATTGGCTTTTAATTTAGATTTAAGTTTTTGTAGTTTATTTCAATAAACAATAACTTTGACTTTCATATTTTATAATTTATTTTCTTTAAAATTTTTCACTCAAATATTTGAAAGAGAAGCCAAGACATCTTAGTCATAACTGATTTACATTTCCAATACAGAATTTTAAGAAATAGTATATCAAAATATCTAAATTTTATTTTTTAATAATAAATAAAACTTCTAAATGAAAGCTATTAATCTTTATGTAAAAATGATTTACTTTTCAAATTAAATAATCAAATGAAAATATATAAAAGAATAATATAAATTTATTCTTAATAGATTCGCAAGAATATAAATCATCATTTTACATTTGAAGATTATAATGAAATTAAAATTAGTCCTAATAACTTTTCATTTTACAAATTTCCTTATTCCTTGTTCAAATATGTTTTAATCTATTTATATACTATGATTAGTGATGAAAAAGCTAAGATTTTGGTAAAGATTTTCAAAGAAGAATTATCTTATGAGTGAAAGGTTACATAATAATTCAATTCAAAGAAAGTTGAAGCAAGGCACCTATCTTATTTTGCTTCTTCTATATCTAAGTTATATCATCTGAAAGTAAGATAAAACGATTAATTAATATGAAGACTTTATCAATGAAAATAAATGAATCGTAAGTTAAAACAAAATAGTTTATTACTTTATTCAAAGTAGTTTGAACATCAAAGAACTTGAAATATTTCTAAAATATGAGTATTATATTGTTTAAGTAATATTAAAATTGTATCTTAATGCAATCTTATTTAAGACGAGTAAATAAAGAAAATAACCTTAGAATTCATAATCTATACATTGAAGTGCGTAATAAAAATGTTACAAGGATGTAAAATTAAAGTTAAATCAAGTCAGGGATAAAGTATATGACTAACTCACGAGATAATTATTAGTAAACTTATCAAGGTACAAGTAATTAGGAGCTATGATTATGATTGCTAGGCATTCAAAAAAACTGTATGAGGAATTTTTTTTGCTTTAAAATCTAATAGAAGCTGATGATTACAGCAATA